GGAAATAAAAGACAAGGAGGTTGAAAAAAGCGATCAAAAGATGGTTGTTTGATGGTATAATTAGTTTGTGGACGAGAATGTTTTATTTTATATGTTACTTGGTTGTGAATAGGGTTGCAGATGGGAGGCCATTCGCTGTGTAAAACATTTGCTGGATAAGTTGGCGGTTCATTCTGCTGTGGCGACCCCTGATTGATTGATTGATTGATTGATTGATTGATTGATTGATTGATTGATTGATTGATTGATTAAGCCAATAAAAATGAATGAATGAAGAAATGTATTTGTGAATTACTTATAGTTCTCTTTTTAAAATTTGGAGGTTCTGTTTGTTTTATGCATCATCTGTATTTTGAAGCCATACTTTTTTTTATTTAACAGCGAGAAACACAATGGAAACAAGCCATTTTATAAGCCATTTTATATAAACACTTTATTGTGTTTTTTATCCTTGACAGTTTGTATTTCAAAATGTATGGGACACTTGTAATGTTGAAAATACAAAATTTAATTCAATTCACTGCGCCACCGTGTCACCTTGAACGTTCAATTAAAAAAATGTATTTGATTTTAAACTAAAAACAAAATGGAGGCAACAATACTTTTTCACAGTGTAGAGGTATTATACAGTTGTCAAAATTAAAATTCTGAAATAAAAATACTACCACTAATACAATTATAATACGATCTACATCATACCTGCCAACATTTGTCTCCGAAGTTCAGGGAAACCAGAGTGGAGGATAATTGGCGGTGTGTTTTTGTCTGAATAACACAGTTGGGAACCGGGTTAGTAACTATAATATGGACTGAGTTTCGAGCAGACGCTGCATTGACAGTTCTTTTGAATAATTGGCTCTTATTGTGTGTATTGCCTTTTCTTTTTCACCAAATGCATCCTCGATTGTAAGTCTCTTTAGACCAGGGGTCTCAAACTCAATTTACCTGGGGGCCGCAGGAGGCAAAGTCTGGGTGAGGCTGGGCCGCATAAGGGATTTCACAAAAAAAAGGCCTCAAATGTCATTATTAACAGTTTTAATTATTTCTTCTGAACATGAAGTGTCCTGAACATTAATAGAACATTGAGTGAAGATTATGAACAGTTCTTCTGAACATGCCATCTTTTGCCTACTTCTTGCTGCCAGACTTGACAGCGCTTCTTCTCACAAATCTGAACCACATTTGGTTTTAGAGCGGAAGCAGTTGAGACCCTCAGTATGGCTTGAAGATGATCATCATTAAGTCTAGACCTGTACTTTGACTTATTGAAGTCCTAGGGAAAAAAGTGGGGGAACTCACTCAAAACTTCCATTCCCTCACCTAAAAAAAGGCGTATATATGTATAAATAAAACACCCCCACCCCACTCCAGTCTGTACCATTCTGTATCTATCTATAATATATATAAGATGCAGGGCAGGCACGTGCACACATAGGGCTCAACCTGTGCAGAGCACATGCCCTTTTTAGTTTTGCATAGAAAGTGCCCTTCCAAAATGATCAAAAGTGCCCCCGCGACGCGACACACCCTCGGTCCCGCCCTTCAGTAGGCGCGCGATAACAGCGCTCTTGAGTACGCGCGCGACAACACAGCTGATCAGAACGCGCGCGACAACGCCACTCCACACTTCCCGCCCGTCACAGCGTCTAACAAAGGGGCGGGGTGTGTGGTGACGTCACCGGCATCCTCGCCCCTTTGTTTACTAAGCGGGCGAGGAATGCCAGTGACCGCTGTGTACGGATAAAATCAGCGGAGCGGGGAGCGCTCTCTCTCCCCGCTCCGCTGATTCTGTCAGTGTACAGCGGTCGGCGCGGGCCACAAAATATTGCACTGAGGGCCGCAAATGGCCCGCGGACCGCGAGTTTGAGACCCCTGCTTTAGACAAATGAAAATGTAAATCATTATTCATATAGACAACTAAGCATTCTGCTCTTGGAAAAAAAAGCTATTTCATTATAGATAAAATATTATTTACTGAATTCAAGTATTTCCCTTGACTGTGTTCTTAAAAATGGCTTTAATGTACTCTGGAGATTTTTAAAACCCTCCTCAGCATTTTGGTTTTGAGGTTTCTTGAGTGCATACTGTATGCGGATGTCAAAAATAGTCACTGAATACACTTCTGCAACTTCTGTTTTGTTTTGTGTGTCGCTATGCTGGTTACCAGGGTGTTTTGGGTGTTAAAAATATCTCTGCAGACAAAAAGGTTTTGCAGTGATGCCATAGAGACTGACACCACTATGACACACTAAAAAAAAACATATAAGGATTTGCTGAAGATACTTTTGGGTCTGGGTGTGTGTGAAATAATCTTCATTTAGTGTAACATGTAAAACCTATGGGTTTGAAGGAGAAAGTGTACATATGTAAATTGACGATTTATATTTTGGGGGCAGATAAAGCCTTTTAATATCCCATCAAATGATTTATGTTCTAAATATGCCTGGCATGATTTTTTATTTTACTGCACACAAACTATTGTTACACATAATGACTTAAAATGGCATTTATAAATGTCATTATTTTACTTCGTAAACATAAAATTGAATAAAAAATGTACTTAATTTAAGACAGTATTGCACTTTTAACCACTCTTTCCACACTGTAAAAGATATCTGTTAATTAACAGTTTCCATATGTTTTTTTTTTATTTCACAAGTGTTTTCTGTTTATTTACGGTTATGAATTGCATTATGGGACCTTGATATCTGCTTTGTTGACTTTTTATGTTAAAAATTCAACTCTACAGTTTAACCAAGTGACTTTTATTCACATCTAAAATGTTTGAAATACTATAATGTATAAGAAATAATATAGAGAGCATTACTCGGACCTACATTTGTTTCCTTGTCATCTTCACAGTCAAATGCACTCGCCTTCTGTTTAATAATTGGCTTATAACACTGAACTGGAAAAATCCTTCTCCACCCAGTTATGTACACTGGATGCATGATCTGATGCAGTCTTTTCAAATAGAAAAGATTAGGTATACAATTTTCAGTAATACTGAAAAATTTGACACTATTTTGCAACCCTTACTCTCACATTTAAAAAAAATTCAATTAAAATAATAAAAAAATAAAAAAATAAAAAAACATTTTCATTAGCCACAATTTTGTTGATGGAAAAATATATTTGCATAAATTTGACGTTGGCATGGTAAAACCACTTGATTTAAATTATGCGTTGTGTCCACATGCCTCCTTAACTGTTTATTTATTTATTTATTTACTTTTTTATTTGACATGACTTTTTAGGGGCTCAAAACTACCAAACAACTTTGGCCCCACCAAACTAATTATTTCCTTGCCACAAACTTTTAAAAAATGTGTAAAACAAGCTAAATAAATAAGCAAAAATGTTCCTAAAAAACAGCAAAGTTTTGCACAAGGAAACGGGAGCGTTTAAGCACTCGCAACTATCACATCAGCTATATATATATATATGTGTGTGTGTGTGTGTGTGTGTGTGTGTGTGTATGTATATATATATATATATATATATATATATATATATATATATATATATATATATATATATGTATATATATATATATATATATCAGACTTATTAGCCCCCCTTTGATTTTTTTTTTTTTCTCGGCTAGAATAAGAGCAGTTTTTAATTTTTAAACACCATTTTAGGGTCAAAATTATAAACCCCTATGATCTATTTTTTTTTGCAATAGTCTACAGAACAAACCATCTTTATACAATAACTTGCCTAATTACCCTAACCTGCCTAGTTAACCTAATTAACCTAGTTAAGCCTTTAAATGTCACTTTAAGCTGTATAAAAGTGTCTTGAAAAATATATAGTCAAATATTATTTACTGTCAATAAATCAGTTAATAGAGATGAATTATGTGCTGAAAAAATCTTCTCTCCGTTAAACAGAAATTGGGGAAAAAAAATAAACAGGGGGGGCGAATAATTCAGCGGGGCTTCAACTGTTCATACATTATCTATTATTTTATTTTATTTTTGCCCTATTTTACCTGCACCTGGCTTAGTTACGAATGGAAAGTGTTTTTCCTTCCTTTTTATTATTTTTTAATAATTTGTATTCTACTGCTGTATCTTTTGCATATTTGTATTTATATATTTTTCTGTATTACTGTAAGGCCTAATATGTGTTACTTTTATATATAATGTTATATTATCTTATTATTATTGTTATTTTATTTCTTGTGTGTTTTGTATTTTTTACATTGTTCTTAATGCAAGAATATATTTTTCTATCACTTAATTTAGAGTTAAAGAGAACGTGAGCTAATTGTTTCTGCTGCTAGATTGGAGCAGTTGATGTCTTGTGATTCTTTGTATTTGCTGCTGTGACGCTCTGACTAATATGCATCAATAAAACAATTTAAATAGAAATATTGAGAAATAAGTCTAACATAACAGAAAAAGTACTGGAAGTTGGTTACAAGGTATTTGTAGTATAATATATAACACCAACCCAGACAATATATCACTTTAAACTATTAAAAATGTTAACAAAAGTCACTTTTTTGAACTTTTCAAAGTTAAAAGCTTTTAGAAGAGAGATCAAAGTCTCATAATGCAATTCAAAAACATAAATAAACAGGGAAAAATAAAAATATTAGTCAAAAAAATACTCAAACTGCAGTGTATTACAGTGTATTTAATGCATAAGCTATAGAATGACTTTCTTATAAAACCTACTACAGTAATCTTATTTTAACCTTTTGTAAAACAGTTCAAGTTTCTTCATGACATTATAGAACTTTTTATAGCTGATTATTTCACATCAGCACTTCCATCAAGATTTAGAGAAGCTCCATCTGCTTTAATTCATTTAACCGAAGCTGAATCATTTAACAGTCACCGAGGATGGAAATTGTGAGTGGAGAAGCACGAGAAGGAAGAAAAAGAGGTGTAGTTTATTTCCAGAGGGGCGTTGTTGCAGGGCTGGGCTGGGGTGTGTGGCTGTGTGTGTGTCTGTGTTAGTGGCTGGATTTCTCTTTGCATTTAAGGAGCAGGGGGGGGTTCAGGGTATCATTTTCATCCACGTCCGTCCCGCCCCCTCCATGAGTACACCCTGCACGCTCTCCAGGTCCCAAAGTGGCCACAGAGACTCAGAGACTCGGACTAAAGTGGCAAGATGAGAGCCCCGTGTCCGCTCCTGTCTGCCCTCTTCCTGGCACTCCTATACCTGCTCCAGACCACCAATGGAGGTAAGACTGCTCAATCTCATCCTTTCACAACTTTTACAGCTGATTTAGCTTACCATCGAGTCTATCAGCAAAAGTTTCTAAAAGTTGCATTGCTTTGAATTCTGCCAAGAAGCTTCCAACATCTGAAAATGTGCACTCACAAGAAAACTCATTCATACTCCTGAGGCTGGAGCGTGTACAATAAAGCCACAGTTTTTGGAGACCCCTCCTTCTCTGGCTTCCGTTGAGGGCTCATTGGGCAGATCTGAGGTCCCGAAAAGAAAGAGTCACTTTCAGAGGTGTGGATCAGCTGCCCTACGCACAGATGTTCCTGCTTTTCCGCTTCTTTTTGCGGCGCCTGTGAGACCTGCAGTCTAATTAGCGCGCCAGTTAAAGTGGGACTGAAGTGAGCGTTGTTCGGTATGGGGATCAAAGCGTGTCTGCGTCGGCAGCTGCCCCGAACTCACATGATAGCAGAGAGAGCAGCAGAATTGATCTAGTGTGTGCTTGAGCTGGGAGACGGTCAAGAATGTTTTGGCATCTGCATCCTGTATGAGGGCCATGTGTGGAGATGGAGTGCTTGGAAAAAAATAGTGGGAAATTGTGGTTTGGGATGTGAGATGGGTGTGGCAGGGTGGGGCCAGGTGGGCGTTGCTGGGGCAGATTGGGCGTGGCACCGTTTTCTGACTGCGATGGTTCGTTTAATGGTCATTAGCATATTAGAATTTGTAGAAAAAGTAAGGAAGAGCGGGGATGAAAGCAACAAAGCGATGTTCTTGAAGCCCTGACAACATTTGATTTCCAGGCTATAACAGTACATTCAGCATGCAATCCTTGATGGAGGTAGCAAATATCAGCTAATTTTGGGGCTGTGTCCCGCATTTAGGTCCAAACTTCTGTTTTTAAGTGCAGAAGGTAAATTATTGTGGCTTTTTTTTTCTTATTATGGTGGCTTAAGAAAGCCAACATACTGTTATACTACATAAACTTAGTTTACTTCCATCTTCTTCTTCTTAGACTATTTTAAGAACGCATCTCCTCCTAGACCGTTCATACTACAACCACCAAACTAACTCCAAACCTCCAAACTATGTTGAATTAAGTTGCTATGTCTTTTCCAACTGATCTGATTTACGGTTTTCCGAAAACTGACCCAGGGAGTTCAGAAAAGTCCCATTGACTTAACATTGGACCAAACTTTGTGATATGATAATTTTGCGCCAGACTGTCATGCAGACTTAAGAATGGCCTCATTTAACTCAGACTCACTGATGACCTTTCAACTTTCTAGCCACACCCGAGCAACCACTTACAACACCCTACCAACTGTCCCATAGACTTTTATTGTAAAAAAACTGCCATTGACTTTACATTGGACATACTGACAACATGCCAATTTACCAATCTATGCTAGAAACATACTAACAAACATTCTAACATACTAGCAACATGCTACTTCTTATTAAATTCATGCTAACAGCATGCTAGTTTATACTAGAAACATGCTAGCAACATGTTAATGTATGCTAGAACCATGCTAATTTATGTTAGCAACTCCCTAGCAACACCGTAGCAATGACCTTTACTTTTTTAGTTACAAGTTGTGTTTCTCTTTTCATGCATCACACTAATGATCAATCTACATGTTATTTAGTGCAGTAACACATCCTAAAGTTTGCAATGTCTGGGTTTCTCAAAAGAAAATCAGGTTTAAATGGCAAGAGTTCCTGTGAGGATGAAAGTAGCACTGTTATTTCTGTCCCGCTGCTAACAGACAAACCTTATTTTTTACTTCCACATTAGAGTGTTCAGTGTTTTAATTCATATGTTTTAAAACATTAATGCATATTGCCAGTAATAATAAAAAAATATTCAAAAACTATAGAAAAGTTTAACATGTTGCATTGTTATTGCTTTTGAAACATTTGATGGAGCTGAAATGTAAAATGAAAATGCTGTTTTATTTATTTATTTATTTTTGCAAAAATAAAGGACAAAATATGTTTGCAGTGAACATAGTCAGATATATTTAAAATAAACAAGATTAAGCCAGTAAATCTAGCAAATATTATTGTGTTCCTACTAGTAACAACGTAACAATGTGCCGGTTATATTTAAGTGAAGTTTTAAAAACTAATTTTAAGAGGAGCCCGTGATATGCTAGATCGCAGCTGGCCTCTCGTCCGTAATCGGTAATAATCCAATCAGACTGATTCAAGTTTACAATAACAGACCAATTTCGCCCCCGCTACTTTAACTTAGTTTTGAAAGAATCCCCCATTCCACCCCATCCCCTCCTTTTCCTCCCTTTACCAGGGGGAGCTCTCGAAACCTACCTGATCTCGAGCCCCCTTATAGGCTTATTGACCAGGCTCAATTATCTCTATCTTCAGGTTTCCCTCCAGGGACAGCATCCCAAACCTGCTAATAGCGTCAAGCAATATGTACGTGTGAACTCTTGAAAGTGAAATTACATTAAAGTTGTTCTATATTTGTTCAAAATAGCACCAACATTGATAGAGCACACTTGTGAGTTAGTAACCACAGCAAAAACATATTTTTGTCTAAAAGACTATCTTTTAAAAATAGGTTTTTAAGAAAAATTATAGTCCCCTCACATGTACAGTACATTACGCATGTATGTGTTATACATTGTAAAAATCGGTTATTTGACTTAATTAAAAAAAAAAAACTCTTTGTCTTATAAATGTTAAGTAGACAAACTATGTGCAAAATTATAAAAGTGGTAAAGTTTCTATGTCATGCCAGATTTACATGGCAGGCCAAATTGACCATCAGGCCACAGGGACATCCCGGTGCTTCTTATGGCCAGTCCGCTCCTGGCTGGGTTCACACCAGATGTGGCATGCGCAAATGAATTGTGATATTCTCACATAAATAAACCTGTGAAGATTTTGAATTTACTAGCTTCATTTGAGTAAGAAATTCACTTCACAATAGACATGGATTCGCTTCACGGGCAGGGTTTCGGCCCGCCCGGTGACTCTAGTTTTGTTGCTAAATGGCTAACATGGATTTTATTGAAAGATTAGCTGTGATTTATGTGATTTAGGAATGCTGAAAAACAGCATAGATTCGTTCAGTGCCATGTTTGAGTGCACTAGATCCTTTCAGAGGGGCACTCAGAGTTCTTAAACTCCTCCAGAAGTGTGGTGTCACCCGGAGTATTTCCCCTCGGGACAACAACTGCAGGAGCTACATCATAATCACACCCCTATGAGAGCAAGCTCCTGATTGGTTAATGTGGCACGAATGTCCTAAAGTTCAGATTTTCCAACTCGAGCGTATCGCACCCTAACGCTTGATTCATACGGGATTCAGTGTCAACGTTTGACAGAGGGCAAGTCTGAAGTTGGGGCTGACGAGATCGCCATAGCAGCGTCAGCCAATGAAATTAGTATCCAATCAATTACTGTCTGAGCTGGTGTATTTGCATAAAGTGATCTGATTGGCTGACGCTTCCGTTGGTGCTTGAAAAGTTGAGAAGTTTTCAAGTTCTGCAGCGAGCAACACCACTGAACAGCACAGACGGATTCACAATGCAGTTTGGCAATAGCTGACATCACCCATTTAAAGTGAATGGGAAGTGTTGACGCTGACACTCTGTGTGAATGGGGCGTAAGCGCGAAACGTGCAAAACACTCAATTCACACCGAGTCATTCGCGCAAATCATGTCGCAGGATGTCTATTCGCATCTTTGCATTGACATGTAAATCACTCACACTTGACGCTTCATCGGCGTCTGCTGTTAACACATTATAATAATGGTTTTGTGGTCCAGGCTCTGTCAGGGTTCTGCCACTCTGGTCCTGTAAATTCTTGTTTTGGTGGCAGAGTCTGGACACTAGCTCTGTCTTGTCCTGTTTCTGTCATTGTGTGTGTCTCTGTGGGGGGTCTGCGTGCGCTCTTGTACTCGTGTTTTTGTTTTGTACTGTGGGCATTGCGCTGTTTCATTCTTAGCGTCTTCGTCTAGTTGGTTTCGGTTTTGGTTGACGTTGAGATGAAACATGCGCGTTGCATATGTGTGAGCGCAAGGTAAGGGGTTCATATATTGTGTACTCGGGTCTTGCGTATATTTGTGTTGTCCAAGCACATAGCTATATGTTTACACTGTGGCCACGTGCTTCCGTCCTGTCCTGTTATTGGGAATGCGTGGTTGATGAGTTCTCTCATTGGCTACGTGTTCTTGTCCTGTTTTATGTAAGTACATGGCTTGTGTTGTCTCTGTGTCATTGCTCTCCCGTCTATTGTCTAGTCCCACCCTCCTTGTTAACTCATTATTAGTTAATTATGTTTATCTGTTTGTGTGTTAATTTAGTTCTGCATATAATCTCCTCATGTCTGCTGTCCTGGGCCAGTTCGTCATTGTATCTCATTGCATGTTACCTTGTCGTGTGTCTGTTCCAGTCTTGATCCCTGCCAGCCTGTCCAGTTCAGTCCAGTTTGGTTTGTTTATTTGTTTTGTTAATGTTTTCCCCCTTGGGGTAGTTTGTTTTGCTGATTTTGCCTTTTTATTTGTTTTATTGTAAATAAATACTTTATTCACCCTGCACTTGGGTCCTCGCCCCTTTTTCCCTTCACCGTACTATGACGTAAAGATCACAGTGAAAAAAATTCAATTGACTTTTGAATCTACTGAAATCTATTTTTATTTACAAAAATGTACTAATTATCGAATGCTGAAGTTTTTTGACAAAAAAGATTTTGTTTTTGTTTTGTTTTTTTATTTGGGGCGGGGTGTATTAAATAAAGAAAATAATCTTGGGTGTGGACTTGATTTGCTTACATGATATCAACATACTCAAAACTGCATAGTATTTTCTTTAAAATTTGAAAACAATTGCTTTTTAAAAACTACTTTATGCATCACACAATCATTATTTTGTTACAGTCCAGATAATAGGACAAAAAACACATAATGCACCTTTAAAATCAAGATGAAATGGAAGAAGCGTCAAATCTTTTCCCATGTATTGTGGACAGACTATAATGTTGATTC